CCCCCCCCCCCCCCCCTTTTCTCTCCCGTATTTTGCACACACGGTGGCAGCTGCTGTAACTGTAAGCCTTGGCTGGACTGGTACGTTGGTCACCAGCACCGTGCACAGCAAACACCTAAAACGTGTCCACACAGTATTATGACCGGCCCTGTGGTTGTTTAGTTTTTAAACACATCCCTTTAATTCTTGAGTCGGGAAGGAGCAGGCACTGAGTCCTTTTTAATAAGCCGATAAGATGGGAACTCATGACCTTGAGGCACACAGAACTTCATAAGGCAAAATTTTCAAGTAGCAAAATCAGTATCTAGCAAACACCTAAAACGTGTCCACACAGTATTATGACCGGCCCTGTGGTTGTTTAGTTTTTAAACACATCCCTTTAATTCTTGAGTCGGGAAGGAGCAGGCACTGAGTCCTTTTTAATAAGCCGATAAGATGGGAACTCATGACCTTGAGGCACACAGAACTTCATAAGGCAAAATTTTCAAGTAGCAAAATCAGTATCTAATAATAAAAGAATAATTGTTCTCACCTGATCTTGGGTTCCTTCATGAAGTGACAACTATTTTAAATCATTAGGATTAAAAGTCACAGATACTCATTATACTATGGGGCAAAGTATTACGCGCACGTGCTGCCATCTCCTAACATCTTGCAACGAGACCAGAGCTCAGTAGAATGAGGGCTCTGCTTTGCTACCCATGAAAACAAGCAAAGAAATACAGTTAATTTTGTACGTATGCTGCCAGCTTATGCAGTTACGATAAACCTGAGCAAGGCTTTTGATGACAAATAAAAAAAAAAAACCTAAGAAAGTCCTTCCAACAGCTCTCGCCGTACCTGCTTCATAGGTGGTGGCGTGCGCGGTCATGCTCCAGGTGCTGGACCGCCGACCTTTGGTGACCATGACGGAGAACTCGTACATGGTGTTTGGCTTCAGACCTATCACGGTGTGACTCAGCGCGGTCGTATCGGCCGACTGCAAAGAGACGGAGCGGAGAAGGTCTTTAAAGCCAACTCTTTTTGCTGGCAGCCAAGCAAAACACAGTTACAATTACGGTTACGGATTCCTTTTCCGAGCAAAATAGCTCTACTGCTGCTGCGTACCTTAACGGGAGTATTTTTAGTACCAGAGATACGCTACTAAACTAGCTGCCTATAATTTAGGCAGTTAAATGAATTATGCTTTCTCTTTTCCCAGACAATGCAATTTGCCATGCATTTTTTTCAAATGTAATTTGGAAGCTAACCTCGTGTCCTTCATCTATGCCAATATGAGGACGGAAAATAGCAACACTTCCACAATTTAAGCACTCATTTCCAGCCCCTTTGGTGGGTTCCTTCTTTAAAAAAAACAAAAGTTAATACCTACTGATTTTTAGTGGAGGCTCAGAAAACATTTTTACCCTTACAAAGATCCTGACTATGGCTTCCTAGTTCCTGGGGTTAACACATATTTATGATAGAGATTGAAGTACGATCCAGGACCCCGTATAAAGACGCATTTTTGTATTCATAGAAAACACTTGTGCTTGGGTAAATATAATATGTTTATATATTAGATTATATTTGAAACATATTATTAATCTGCCTTGCTGTGATGTGTTATGAACAGCTACCCACGGTGATGTGACTATTAAATTGTTCATTTATTTTTAGCTGATTTAGCTTTTTACCTCAGCCTGGAGTAAGGAACCATTCGAGACAAACTGCACGAGTATCAGAAGGGACAAGTGAGCAGAAAATTACGGGACAAATTGGTGACAACTGAATAAAATCAATTCCCACGCTTTTCAAGCTACAGAGCCTGGTGTGCAATTCCCCAGCGTCAACAACTTATGGGCCAGTGAGTTAAAGGTGCCGGGCACTTTTACGTGTTTATATACCTGTGGACCTAAAGTTTCTTGAGTAAGGACGACGTATAGATGGCTTTGTATCAGATGATACCTAGGCGTTCACGTTTGGGAAGCAGTTCCCAAGAAGGCATCTTGCCGGCATGCATCAGTAATGCCGTTCTGATGCTAATCATCAGATGACGCAACAATAAATCGCCCTTTCCTAAAAATGGGACATCAACCACAGAATAAAGCAATAATATTCAAGGGGGAGTAGGAAATATTTACTTTGCAGAGACATTAATGAATGGGCTGTGCATGCCTACATGCTACGCTGGTTTAGATGTTTTGCATGCTACTTAGTAGGAAGACTTAACACAATACCAAATTTTATCATCTTCTTCATACTCAATGAAAACTCCTCGTTCTTGGAAACCATCAGTTTTGCAACTAGGGGTTTACTCCAGCAGAGAATCTCCCTCTATAAAAAGTCTTACTGAAGCAAAGATCGCACTTAGGACCTACGTGTTGATAAACTACTCAACCAAACTACTCAGCCACTTGCCAATGATGGCAGAATCATAGAATAGAATGTCATCTGCAAGAGAATCCACCTGCTAGAGTTTATATAAATTATTCTTGGACTAAAGACTGGACTTAAATATGGGGAATAATAATTTTCTCCTCCCCAAAAAGGTTTTGGAAGAAATGAAATTATTTACGGCATAAAATACCCTTAGCATGACTGAGGGTAATGAAATCTGACAGCTATCACTATGGAAGTGCTCAGATACTACACATGATCGGGAAAAACGCACAGGGAAAAAGCAATAGGGTTTGAACCTATTCCTGGACAAAACAGTCTTTAGCAGAACATAAAGACGTTGGCTTTTTTGTAAAAAGAAAGCAATTTGTCTCCAGCTGAGTGTTTTTCTTTGACTGTTTTGCTCAATATTAGCATTTCAGAAGTCGCAAACATCCTTGAAGTTAATACGGCATTGAGATGAAGGGGGTGTAACTGCAGCAAGTACCTTTGGTAATGCCATGCCATGCCTGTTTGGGACAGTTTGGCAGGGCAAGGTTAAATTTATAAACTTCCAACTTCAACGGGAAAGGCTAAACCCTTCTTTACATTAGATTTTATATAGATTTTTGAAGCAATAGGAGACTTTAATGGGAAAATCTCAAAAGAATTGGCAATTCAATGCCAACGCAAAGGCAAGTGCTGTGGGAACCCATTTGTGAGCCTGATCCAAATCCCTCTGAAGAACATGGAAGTTCTCCCCACTGTTTTCAAAGAATAACAGCATAGGTTTTATCTTATTTTATAAGTTATTTTTATAAGTTATTTCAAGAAAGCAGCCCCTCTTGAAAGATTTTTCATTGTTCCTGCTTCTGGGTGATTGAATTGGAATAAATGAATCGGACCGGCTCTTTACATGCTACCCACTGACCAGTCAAACTAGAGATGATGGCAAAAAAAAAAAAAAGATAATTTCAATCTTGCTCTTTTCCTTTGAGTCTCCTGCTCTTCGATGGCTCCCAGAGCCCTCTGCAAGAGAGGTCCTCCTCTTGTTTCAGGACAATGAGCTCGACAGCTCCGAGCAGGACGTGCTTCTCCTGCACAGCAAATTAACGGGGCCATGTTTGATCATTTGTGTTGGTCACCCACCACTTCCCACTGCATGCAGCTCAGTAAATGCATTGGGAAATGGAAGAAAATGTTACGATTGGCTGTGATGGGCAAAACATAATGATGTCACTTCTGGAGCTTTGATTTCATCAATAGAGCTGCAAACCCTGAGTCGCTGTGCTTCCCCGTGCTATACTCCTCATCTTGTCGGGCATGGGAATCCATCTCTAAATAGCAGACAGATCAAGGTATGGCATTCAAAACATTACAATGCATGGTGCTGGCATCCTTAATTACCTAAAAGAGCTCGTTACATCTGCACGAGCATCGAAAATTTGGGTCTAATATTACCGATCATCATCTCAGAATCTGAGGTTGTCAGAAGTATGGTGGTAGATGTGAAAGCAAGGTATGGGCTTTACACCTTGGAAAGCTGCACTATTATTTAAAAGCTTTACAAGCGGGCCAGCACCTGCAGGAAAAAGCCAGCTGGCCTGAGTCTCCTCTCAGCTGACCTGAAGGCAAATCGGGGGTAACGCAACTGAAATCGATAGTTCCCGGCAGCACGGGGACTCGGCCAAGTGCCAGCGAGCCAAATGCTGATGGAGATGTGTAAGGGGGAGAGCAGAAAAATCGCAACCAGAAAAGAGATTGAAGGCAAGAGCTTCTCCACCATCACTCCCACTTCTGCCAAAAATTACCCGGGAAAGATCTCGAGATGAGAGTCTCTAAGACAGGTGTACCCCAAACCTAAAGAGGCAGAGAGCTGTCCTCCGGGGTTTAGAAATGCCAGCCTGTATTTAGCTACATCGTTGAGGCTCTACTGGAGGAGCCTCAGTGCTGGATAGAGCATGGCCTGCTCCACGGTCCTGGTAAAAATGCCTTGCGTGAGGCTGCTTTTGTTAGGCTAGAGAACAGTAAAAAAATGAGGCGTCCACTTGCAGTATAACAATACATCCATAGCAAACAACTCACTCTGGATCGATAAGATCCTTTAGGTGAGCGAAAACAACTATTAATGGTAGGGCACGGGAGGAAGGACATGCTCATCATGGGGAAGGGGGGTGTTATATGAGATGCAATACAGAAGCTGACGATCGTGGGGGAAGGTAGCTTGTTGTTCAAAACCAAGCAAACAAAAAAAGCCGAAAGGCTGGGCTTGCTCCTTCCCATTCCCTGTCCCACCGTATCTCTTTGCTTGCACGTGATTTGGTCCTGCCTTCATTAGGACTTGAGAAAAAGTAGCATGCTGCTGCCGTATCCTTTCAAATTGAATTTTCTCATATGCTGACCTTCATTTTTTTGCTGTTTGGGAGTACGTAATACGGGTGAGTGGAATTACCATACAGCGTGGGTGGCTTTGCAATTGATACTTTTTCCTATTCACGCTACGCTATCGTGCTACCAAATCTGTGTCTAATTTATATCTGATTGTTAAAGATTAAAGATCTAAACCTTCAACAACTGTCATGTGGAAATTAAAATACAGCATATTCATCCAACTAAACACATGGGCTTCTAGGAAGCAGTAGTTACTCAGGGAAGTCTCCCTTTGATTGAAATGGGAATTTTAGTTGAGGGAAATTCATAAAAGCCAATTCAGACTCTTTGCAAATCAAATATGAACAGATGAAATAGCTCATAAATTCATAACGTGTTAAAATTTCACCTTGTACTTAGCACTTGTCGAATAGCTTGTTCTCCATCGGACCGTGTAGAAGCGAACCTCCGTAGTCTTTTGGTTCTTTGGGACAGAGTTGTCTGCCCAGATGACCCTCACTGCATCATGCGTAAGTGTAACAGCCTGGACACCTACTGGTGGGAGCATGGGGGTGGAGATATCTGGGACTGAGGTAGGGAAATCATCAAGCAAAGGATAAAAATCAACTTCTAATGGATCAATGGGTTCTGGGTCCATACATCACCAAATGAGCATTCCAAAATAAATGAAGAGGTAAGTTAAACGGAAAAACAAACCAAAACAAAACACAAACAGCCACCAAGGGGCACACGTCACAATGGGTTAAATGCATGGCATTAATGAGGAGGAGGAACATGAGGAGAACAGAAAGAAAGGCATTAATGCAAAATGAGAAGGCACCAGCAACGTTTCAGTTACATCACTACAACAAAACCAGCGCTAAGTGCTATTTTTCATGACTTGTTTAAACACTTCCAGGTATGCTGTGTTTCCTTCACACGAGATGGAAGTCAACGCACAGTGGCTCTCCTGAAAATGATTCACATTTTCTTAAATAAATCAAATCACTTAAATGATACATTATTGGAAACACCTACAAAGTGGAGGGCGTGTTGTCTTCCAACCTGATTTATAGACACGACATATGCTCACACGTGTAGGAGTTACCTATGCTTTTCTTTCTCGGCAGCCTCTTCTGGGCTTTTTTGTTGGTTTTGGCTCTTGAAAGGAACATATTCTGCATTTGCTCAAACGTTTGTTAGGTAAAACAGAACATAATAATTTCACTGCTGAAGTGAAGGTCTTGCAATTGTTGATTTACTACCAATGTTGGACACATGGATTATCTTCAAGTGGGCTCCTTCCTCGAGGAACAAGCTCAGTTCCTCTCCCACGTGCCTGTGAGCGGGATGGTCTTTGGGGAGCAAGACATTGGGCACCAGGCGCATGCCATGGCGGTGTGCTACGCAATGTCAGAGGAAACTTCCGGCTGGCTTAATTACCGAGACAGTGGCACATTTAATTTAATTTAATGTCATTGTATTTTCAGAAGCTCAGATCTGAGTGGCGTGCTGACAATTCCAGTTACCTGAGGCTGTTGAGATTACTGTGGCCACGCTTCTCCTTCCACTTTCTTGCAAAGGAGGTTTCTCTGAGTTATGGTGGCGTGAGAGAGGAACCAGACATTGGGTCAGCAGCCGATTACTGCTGTTACGGTCATGGGAAAAAGAAACCATCAACCACCTGCGTACAGAATTCCTCTCCTGAGCAGCATTTGGTTCGGCCCTGATGACATTCACGCTCTTGGCTTCTCCAGGGCTCTGTCTCTGCCCTTTGGGGCTGCAAGGTGGCGGCACCCATGTGGGAACCAGAGACCATTTCTACTTGCTTTAAATACCTCTGGCCTTGCTGAAGCACCCCGTCAACTTCTGGCCTGTCTTTTAAAACCATACTTACTGACTCAGTAATTACCAGTTGCGATTTTTCTAAATACAGTTTCAAAATGCAGTGGGTAAAGTGCAGCACAAGCACGCCAAAAGGTTGCTTGGGGGTTTTATCCCCCCTTACAATAATGTGCTAATTAATTACCCAAAGCATTTATAAATTACCCTAATATTTCCTCACTGACACTTGTGACAGTCTGTCTGCTCCATGTGCCATGCCAGCTCCTGACACTCGTTGATCACTCCTGTTTTACGGTTTTGTAACTTTTCTTCAGAACTTCAGGAGGTCACAGCCTTCGGTAGGAAAAACCAGAGGAGACAAGGGTGTTCAAAAAGTATGCTAAGCCATTAGGTTCAACCCCTCCTTGGGTTGTTTCTTTCATCAAAAGCTGCTTCACGAGAAGTTTGAATACGAGCGTTGAAGGAAATGAAGCGTCCCGGTTGTTGTAGGAATCCAAAACTCAAACACACGATCCGCACGGGGAGGAATGGGCAGCTGAACCTCTTCTTTTTTTTTTTTTTGCCCCAACCTCATGAATTGAGCTTCTGCAAGTTGAAAGTTAACAGTTTCTTTTCCTGAACCGAACTTTTCCGAAAGAATTGACTGTAAGCATTGGAAGGGGAGCAATACCTGTTTCTGTTGGGGCTTTTTTACAAACTTATGATGGAAGTTGATGTGACTGGAGCCGAGTTGATATTTTAGTAAATACTGCACTTCCTTTCCCTTTTTCTCGCCCATATTGAAAACTGAAGTCCTGCTGTAGGGGAGATTATGAAGAGAGGCTGGGTTTTGCAAAATAAACGGTCAGACTCGATCAATCAAGGTAATTCCATTTCTGAAACACGGCACCACTGACCCGAGGAAGAGGGAAATGTCTATAATCCACCAGTGGCTGGTCCCGAAATACCGTTTCTGCTTTCCACCAAAGTTTCATTTGCTATTATTTACATGTGGACATCTGTCATTTGGAAATTGCAATCTCTTGATAGAAAATAGTTTCTCGTGTTCTTTGGAGTTGGGTTTTTTTTTGGTACATATTGCATGTTATATAACTTTAGTTTGCACACCATGTCCACCCAAGTAGACGCCAAAGTATGTCTATGTCCATGCTAAACAGACACACAAAGACACCATTTTGGGGCTTTTTGGAGCCCAGGGGGGGTCAGCTCGGCCACCGCTTGGGGAACAGAGCTCCCGTGCTTTCCTGCTTCACTAAAAGCCTTTTTTGAGATGTTCCTGCACGAAGGACCCAGGCTGCCGGCTCCTTTCAGAGGCTGCATCCCATGGGTGGGAGGCGATGGGGAGCTCTGGGTACGGACGTCTCTCAGCAATAAGAGAGAAGCACCGAGGTGGACTTCTCGCAGATGATCACCGGGTCAGTTCACCAAAACAGAGCCCAAGCCTGAATTACCCTTTTTTTTTTTTCACACCTGGATATTGTTTCATTTATGAGAAGTTATATACAGACATAAAATCAAATCCCACAGGCCAGCCGGGTGATTTTTAAATAGAATCGACAGGGAACAAAAGCCTTAAAAATAAGAGTATATATGGATCCTGAGGCAAACTCACTGGAAAAAGATTTTACAAGACACGCACTCAGCCAGAATGAGCTCTGTAGACTTCAGACAAGAAGAAAGAGTAGTAATTTTGAGCCAGAAGTTCCCTGAGACTTATTACATCTAACACAGCTTGTTACGGTTGCCCTTGATTGCGTAATTATTATTATTTTTTTTTTCTCCTTTCTCCTTCCCACTTTCCAAGATTTCTTATGGGAATACTTCACAAAACCATATGGATAAACGCTGGTTTTCCTCATAGAGCCACAGAAGCGCCAGTTGGTTGATTTATTCCTCACGGTCCACCCAAGCCAGCGTCAGTGATCGGGTTTGCTCTCAGTGACACAGCTCCCCTTCCAGGCAGCTCTGAACACCATGGGTGAAACGCGCGAGAAAAAACATCACCAGGCGATGGTGTCGCTCCAGAGGAAAAACACTTTTTCTCTCCGTTCTGTTCTTTTAACCCCTCGTCAGCCCAACACGCCAGCAATTGCAGAAAAAAGCACGAGGCAGCCCAGAAGACAGGGCTACATAAGGATAATTCTGATTTTATAACTTTGCTAGCATCCCAATGATGCATCCGTGAAAAACAGCTGCCTAGAAGCACCCTGCTCCGTAATCCCTTCTGCGAGCCTTATCCTGCCAGGAAAATCTTATTGGAGTATTCCTTCGCCTTTTGCAACCCCCCTACACGCTTCTGTAAAAGTGCATGATGACGGTGTGGTTTTTTTTTTTTTTTAACTAATTCATTTTAATTTAAACTGCTTTAAAAATGAAGGGGAAAAAAAAAAATTCATCTGGGCTTAATTCAGAGAAGTTATTCACCACTATTCCGCCCGGCTCTTTAAATATTTAAATTGTTTGGGAGTCATGCTTCTCCCAAGCCAACCCGCACCAAAGAGCAAGCGCTTGTGAGCATCCCATTAATTTATACGGCCAATTTCTGGGAAGGGTAAATAATTCATTCTATCCGTGTCGTTACAATAAAGTGGAAAACGAAGCTGATATATTCTAGCAGGGACCTGGAGGTTGCCGAGTTCATTTCTTCCATTGCCTTGACCAAAATGGTTTGCCCCATGTGCCCCCTTTGTAAGGCCAATGGCCACTGACGGGGTGCAGAGCATGAGCCAGCATTTGCAAACTCACCTGTCATCGACCGGGTGGTCGCGCTTTCGTACAGAGGCACCCCTTCGCCTGCGTTGTTAAACGCCTTTAAGGAAATCACGTAATGGGAGCTCGGCTCTGCAGGAGAAAACAAATAAGGCAAAAGAAAGCAGACACCATTAAAGCCAGATCTGGGGTGCAGAACGGACGAGCCTTTGCCTGAAAAAGAAGAAAAAAAGAAAAGAAAATCAAGTGAGGAGCAAAATAAGCGATGAGCACAACTGCTGCCCATCGTTTTTGTTTCCATTCCAAAGGATTTATTTATTGATCTCGGTCTCCCGGTGCTATCTTCATCAACAGCGAGCTGAAGGTCTCCTTTACATCACCTGCAGCTTCGCCTGCATAAGAAAGCTGGAACCAACCTTGTGCACCAGCCGTAGCTCCTGACCCATCGTGGTGCTACGGGCAGTGCCCCACGGAGGCGAGGGAGGCTGTGGGGTGCCTGCGCATTCCCGGCACGCTGCTGGCTGGAGCTGGGGGAGCCGGGACCGTGGCACCGAGCTCCGGCGGGCAAGGAGGCATCCAGCCATGCACGAGGAGGCCTGGCTGTCCCGGGGATGACGTGGGAAGAGATGGTTGAAGGTCACCAGAGATGTTGCCTTGGGATTCTCAGCTCACGGCAGTGACCCCCAGGCGTCCTGCTCTCCAGCGCTGCTTGGGTGGAACCCGTGCTCCCCAACCCAGCCCAGAACAGTTCATGCACCCCGGTAACCACTTTCTGCACGCCAAAAAGCCTCCCTCCCTGATTTCTCCATGTCCCAATTACATCGCTAGTGGCCATTTTACCACTTTTTACCGCTCTGAGAACCCCTCACGCTATGCTCTAAATACGAAGGATGTGGCACATGACAAAAACCACATGGGAACCAACTTCTGGGCGCACGGACGGGCTGCGCCAGTTTGTGTGTCCTTGTTTACCATGGGGCTACTCTAAATATAGCCCTAAATGAAGACGAAGTGAAACGAGCACATCAGTCCCATGTTGGTTCTTGCTGCTGTTTGCTGAGAAAAACCAAGGCAATCCATTTTCCTGATTTTTTCCATGCAAATTCCTTCATCTCCCCCTTATTTTTATTTTTTTTTTTTAGCTGTTAATTCTATTTGCACAGAGGAAAATTGCAGCTGAATACACTGGGTGCTCATACACCTGCCAGAGATGGGAACGGCCTCCTCCAAGTTCTCTACTGAAACGTAACAAATGTTTGTATGTGAGGAGGCATTTGTTAACGTGACATTGCAAAAGACCCACGGCAGAATTACATATTTCATCTACATTAACCCCAAATCAGCTCAGCATGATTAATACCATTCCAGTGAATCTGAAATGAGTAAATAATCTTGAAGTGCTTCTTGCATATTGTTACTGGTATCCTTCCCACCCACATATTTTGCACTGCATTTCATGTCCAGAAGAAGCAGTGACATATTTAATATTCAGGTGACTTCTCTGTTTCTGTTGCAAAAGAGCTAAACTTTAAAAATTGCCAAATGAATGACTGGTGCATTAATAACTCCCTGCGCTAAGTACTGTATGGTTATTAATTCAGTTGGTACGCACTGTAATATCGTTCGTCAGAAGGAAATTATTTTGTATTCACGGAGATGTAGTATATATTTTCATATGATTTCCACCATGTATTAGCATACTACTTTTAATTTCTAATTTAACTAAGTGTTGTAACTCTCCAGATTCCACAAGGAGATTTGGTTATTGAGACACAAAGTCATTATTTAGCTGAGAGTTTCGTAACGTCACATTCAATAATTCCTGCAGCAGAAAAAGGAATTCATAGGCACCGGCTCAGACCGATGCCATCTCTGCTTCCTACCCACGTCCCAGCAGCTGCGCCAACTTTTGAAAGACACCTGGCAAAGCGATGCGAGGGCTTGATACAAACCATTCGCCGAGGTAGACTTTGGGAAACGCAAGGAAGGACACCAAAAGATGAAGTTTTAGGACTTTGAGATGTACCGGGTGTTTGCTCTTACCAGCAGTGAACTCGGTGACTGTACTGAAGAGGACGCACAGAGGCAGACATTGGATTAACCAGAGAATCGCGGAATCATTTGGGTTGGCAAAGCCCTTTCAGCTCCCCCAGCCCAACCGTTCCCCTACCCCTGCCATCCCACCCCCAAACCCTGGCCCTCAGCACCTCGGCTGCCCGGCTGTTAAATCCCCCCAGGGATGGCGACTCAACCCCTTTTCTGGGCAGCCTGTTCCTTCATGTGACTTAAATTTTAAATAACAAGGCATTAGTCAGAAAAGGCTCTCACCCTGAACACTGATTTTTTTTTAAATGCGAAAGATTGCTTGGGAAACCTGATTCTAGAAATTACTGCCAAACCCCCCAAACGCTCATACAACTGCCACATCTAATGGAAATACATTGTGAATTCCCAGTAATGAATAAGCAAAATGAGTGATTTACTACTAACCTGACAATGAAAAATGTACTCGCAGAAATGGATAAATTAGGTGGAAAAATATGATAACTTCATGGAAACTTGAAAAAAAAAAAAAGAGGGTATATAGCACATACTTCATTGCAATTGCCCATATAGCACAATATATAGTCCATCAGGTTTTATAAATTGAGCAGCCTGATATGCGATTTATGTTTATAACTAGGCTGGGTGAAGTTACATTTGCAAAAATGAGCCAAGATCGGGATGTGGATGCGATCTGTAGCTTTCTGTTAAAAACATGAAAAATTCAGGTGGTTAATTTGAGCTGCTGCTAACTGGAGCAATAAATAATTGCTTGAGTCTCCTCTTAGATAAGGGGGGAAAAGTCAATTTGCCACAGCATAGTGTCTAAACGCGGTATTAAGAGTTCGGTTTAGGCCCACACAACGGAGAAGTGAAAAAGCGTCGGGATTATCACGCGGCAGACGGTTGCTTTTTGAACGGCGCTCTTTTCGGTACAATGCCACTGACTGGAGTGGGAGTTCAAACGAGGAAAGCTTGTTAGTGTAAATCTACTAATAAGCAGGATGGATGAACAGCTGGCCATGAGCCGGCCATGGGTGCTGGCAGCCCAGAA